CGCGCGCACGTGCACGCGAGCACATGCTTGTGTGTGTGCGCGCTCACACGCGAGCGCATGCGTGCGTGTGTGCAAGGCTAATGTAATAGTATATGCCCAACAACTCATATATAATCTGGGCTAATCAGATGGCCATGTTGCATTTTTCCTTTGATTTAGTTTTTACTAATAAGATGTACCAAATAAAAATAATTTATAAAAAATAGATTTACCAAAATACCTTTAGGGATATTTTGGTCAATTTATTTTTTTTAAATTACTAGTTAACATTTTTATTTAGTGCACCCGAATGAGAATAGTGGATGTTCAAATTCAAGTAAGTTGAATGTATATTAAAAAATTAAAATTAAAATACAAACTACAATCATGAACTTCATATCAGCCTAGATTTAAATTAAACTGTTGGGCATATACTATTGCATCAGCTCTTAGGAGTATAAAAGCTACTTCTTATACATGTATCTATATGCATCTATGTATTTGGTAGGGTTGGGTCGAGCCCAACACAGATGCAATCCGCCCCCATAAGTTTATGGATAATTGTGAACCCGACCGGACTTGGGTCAGGTCCGAGACATATAGACCCAGAAGCAACTTGTCAGGTCTTGTAATTTGGCTACAGATTATAATTCAGGACTGGTCCGTTCACTTGTTGTCAAGCCAATGTGACCCGATTGCTACCCCTAGGTCCAGACCCAGACCTTGATTGGGATGGGGTGGACCTAGCATTATAGAGAGAGATACTTGTACAAATTGTAGAGGTTTCATTATTTTTTGTTGGATGATTGCAGGAAGAAAGGAATTGAGCTTGCCTGAGGTTGCGAAAATGGGAGGGTACAACCCCCTGCTACAAACCTCTCTTCCTGAAGAGTTCCAATGCTATAATCCAAAGACATTGAGTGGAGATGCATCACACGAGGCCTTCTTAAGGACATTCCCAAGGGGTTTTGCCCTTGAAATTGTTCGAGTTTATTTAGGGCCTCCAACAATAGTGTTCAAGTTCAGGCATTGGGGTTACAACGAGGGCCCTTTTCTAGGCCATGCTTCTACTGGTGAAAGGGTGGAATTATTTGGCATTGGCATCTTTCAGGTTTTTCTCTCTCGATTGCATAGTAGGAGACTATTTACCTTTGGTACAAAGAGGTTACAAATATCTTAGCCATCCCATTTCAAATTGGATAGATTAAGGTGTATCTTATCTAAACTTTGTACCTTGTTAATGACACACGCATAACGACCAAATTTGATATCTAATGGACAAGAGGGATTCTGACCTTCTTATACCAAAGGTGTTGGTGCGTGTGTATGGTGAGGTCTATATAAGATATCAACTTTATACTGATGAGGTAACACACATTTCAAAACTATGCTGAAAGATGCAGTTTTTGAATGAAAGCTTTGCAATGACATGAACATCTATCATTACCCTTGAGAAATTTAAAGCTTTAAAAGTGATGCAGATTGAGCAGATCTATAAGCATTTTAATAATTTGAAAATACATAGTCTAAATAATGTGTTGCAAGATGCACTATTATCATTGACGTAAACTTTTTTTTTTTTAAAATCATATACATACATCTTGAAGTTGAGATGATCATTAAAGGTTTTGATCAGGTTAATGACGAGATAAAAATAGAGAACATTGAGTTATTCTACGACCGAGGTGAATTGCTTGGAGGACTTATGAAGGGCTCCCCACAAGAGAGAGATGGAAACAAGGCCATCCCTTCTTCTTGTCCTGCTTTACTCAACATGTGAACATTTGGAAATCTCTCTCTCTCTTATGTGTGCTTGAGACTTTTCATTATATGTTGTCTTCTGTCTCTCATGTGTGTTTGAGATTTTTCACTATATCAATGTTATATTCTTGATTTCGCCACAATTTGTGTCCTTCTTTGTATCCTTTTTTTCATATAAGCCTTCTATGAACCTTATATGATAACAGAATTAAATATTCTTTTGATGAATTTAATCCTCTCTAATGTATGTGTGGACATTTTGTTTTGAGTGGTAATGTTTGGGTGAATTTATTTTTTTTGGGTAGTTTAGTGGGGTTGAGGTCTCTTGCTCATGATAGTCATTAAACTCAAGACATCATGTTGTGGCGTTTCACTACCCTAACCACCGATCTTTGAGCCCATTTCAAACCTTTTTCTCCTTTATGAATGACTAATTTGATATTCAAGATGGCTTAACTTGCTCTCATGGTAACCTATAGTTTGTATGCATCAAGGTCTTGGGTTCAAATCCTCCATTAGCTCTGTGGATGCCCCACCCTCTATCTCTTTGTGTCAAAGAAGTTGGGATTCAATTCTTGCGCATTTGCTTTGTTTTTATCTTAAGGCGAGAGAGATATCATGAGGAATAAAACTGAGGCATATGAGAAATAAGCGAGCAAAGAGAAAGCACACAAATGGCCTAGGTCCTCAAAGGCCCGGCTCAGAGCGATGTTAAAAGGGACCCTGGTTCGGTTTGGGCCAGACCGGGCTTAATAGACGTAAAGGAAGAAAAAAAGGAAAAAATTAAGGAGAAAACAGGGCTGGTCTAGGCCAGACCGGTCCTTAGGAAGTAGTGGCTTCGCCCTCATGACAAATGTGTGGTGGAAGGCTTGTTTTCCTAGGGTTGGACATCGGGCAGGCTACACCACCCATCCCATTGCCCACACTAGTATTGTATATTATTCATTTTAATTAAATCGCATAGATTTGATACATCTTTTAAAATAATTTAAAATTTACACCATTCAACTAAAATTTATAATATAAGTTATTACAAACTTATTTGCCCAATTAAAATTGTCACCTAATATAAACTTTTTCACACTCACGAAAATATGCTACATAGCTAAGATATAAAATATAGGTGGTAAATATAGAATGCAGTCATCCATGCAATACTGCACTTTACTGAGGGAAAAAATAGTCCCAATATAAGGTCCACTGTGATGGTTGGAGTTCATGAAATGTTACAGGTTGTTGTAGTCAATTCTTTCGTAGTAGTTTTGTGATAATCAGGGTTCATACATTTGCCAAAATTTCCTTAACTTTCACAAGAAAATTATCTGATTCTCTCTCTCTCTCTC